CTATGATGTAACTGCTTTGCTTGATGCCTTGTCAACTATATGCCAATCACTGATCATGAAGTTGAGTCGTGCAGTTTTCAACTGTTTCACACCGTTACATCATATAATCAGCGTTTATATTTGATGATGCTCTGAATTTATTTCTAAATCTTACAAGTCTTATTTGACGGTCTTTACAGGTTTTTTATTAACATCCTCAGAATCATGTCGCATTTTATTTCACTCATTTGCCTTCACAAATTCCATAACCTTGCACTCACACAAATTGATTTGCTGAGATCCCCAAACTTACAGAAAGAACACAATCTTAGAGAGGGAGTCTAAATCATAATGTGTGGCACATTTTTGCATACGATCAGATTAAACATTTGCACGCATCTCTATATTTGATGAAGTGTGGGAATAATATACTGAACCAAATTAAAAACTTCACAATCCTAAAATTTAACATTATAACCAGTTATCATTGTGGGCCCTTATTGTGCATTTAAACAGTAATGGCCACGTATTGTCTTCAGATAACACCCGTTTTTGTGCAGGTGATCAAAATCATGTGCACAGCACTATAGTGGCAAAAGTGTTTTTTCACGTGCAACTGGTCACGTGGCCATAATACCGCACGTGTTTTCAGCCATACTTGTTAGCAGTCATTAACAAAAAAAACACACAAGAAAACAGAAGTCTTTATGGCCATTTGTCATGCCACGCCTTTCAAATGTACATCGGCATGTTGCAGACGGGAACGTCCGTAGCTGAAGTCGCAAGGACGATGGGTTGTAGTCGATGGACTGTTTATGATTTACAGACACGTCTACAGCATACGGGTACCACCGCTGATCGCCCTCGGCCAGGTCGACCACGTGTGACGTCACATGCAGAGGATCGTCAGATTGTCTTATGTCACCTCCGTAACCGATTTTTGACGGCTACATCAACCAGAAATAAACTGTTTAGTGATAGACTGAGTGCGCAAATTGTTTGAAACTGTCTGAGATCTGCTCACCTTCAAGCACGACGGCCATACTGCGGGCCGATTCTGACTCAATTACACAGACGTCAATTTCAATTGTGGGCACAGCGACACTTACGATGGACTCAGAGGAATTGGAATCAAGTCATCTTCAGTGATGAATCCCGATTTAATCTTCGATTTGCTGATGGTAGGGCGAGGGTGTGGAGGCGCCGTCATGAACGTTACGCCCAGTGTTGTGTACAGGAAGTTGACAGATTTTGATGTGGAAGTGTCATGGTGTGGGGTGCTTTCTGTGGCAATGCACGTTCCAGGCTTCTTGTCATCTGTGGTAACCTCAACGCTGCTGCTTACCGCGACCCGGTACTGGCACCAGAACTTCTGCCTTTTATGGCAGCACATGCACCCGGTTTGATCTTCCAACATGACAATGCCAGATCCCACACAGCAATTTTGACAAGGAATTTCCTTCAGAATGTGGGAGTCAACGTCATGGACTGGCCGTCAAGGTCTCCCGACCTCAATCCCATCGAACACGTTTTGGATGCTCTTGGCAGAAGTCTGCGCCAACCACAGAATTTGCAAGATCTTGGCACCATTTTTGCAGCAACAATGGCATCGTCTTCCCAATCATGTGTTCACAAACATCACAAGGTCCATGCGGAGGCGTTGTGTGGCAGTTGTCAACGCACATGGTGGCCATACACGCTACTGAACTTGTTTGCCATCAGATTCTCGTGCTTAGGACTTATGATTTAAACTGTTGATGTTATTACCGAATACCGTAGGTGCTTAGAACAAATTATGGTTACCACCGTTAATTTAAATCCTTCTTTTGACATTAATGATTAAAAATTACCTTCTCTTATACATTTGTCCGTTTTATATCATATATGGGATTACTTTTAAAAATGTGAAGTTTTTAATTTGACTCAGTATATCTAGCTTTAATTATGGTCGTACAAATTTCAAACAGGCTCTAGAATATTATTTTGTGACATCCAGACAGACATTCTGGCTTGTAGTTTGTAGCCTAACTCAAAATGCATAAAACCATGCATATAACCTCACGTACAACTTAGTTTAATCTGGGGTCCTTATGACAAATGTTTGACATATACTTGTCAATTGGCTGCCAAATATGCACCTTTTTAATGCAGGTCTTGAAATAAAAGAGAATTCAAGTCACTATGAATGTACGTTACAGAGATGTGTAAATATGGTTATTAGTTTTTATGTATGTTCTAGCATGTGGAATAATCATACATGCTGTGCATATACGGGGATGACCAGTTTCAGATTTGTCATATGTTACATACACATCTAAATTTTGACTTTAGGTAAATGACAGATTGCCATAATGAAAAAATGTTCTGCATTTATGGTTTGGTAAAAGAACTGGATTACACTATCTCTTAGTGTGTCAATGTCAGTGGCGTAATTAAGTTATTAGTAACATATGGCAAGGAGATATGTTTTCCTGTGCACTGATCACTACCAAAGACCATTGAAGTTTCTCTTGTACCAGCTTAAATGACTGGGCCACCCATGCACCCCTATATGTGTGTGGATATGGGAGTTGACCCGTGAAGATCCGGGGTGGAATAGCCTTTCAGCAACCCATGCTTGCCATCAAAGGCGACTATGCTTGTCGTAAGAGGCGACTAATAGGATCGGGTGGTCAGGCTCACTGACTTGGTTGATGCATGTCATCGATCCCAATTGCGTGGATCGATGCTCATGATATTTATCACTGGATTGTCTGGTCCAGACTCGATTATTTACAGACCGCCGTCATATAGCTGGAATATTGCTAAGTGCGGCGTTAAACAACAAACCAGCCAACCAGGTATGGGAGTGTTTTCTATAGGATAAAAAATCACTGATTAACATTGATCCGAATAGTCCATTTCACAAGTTTTCCTTTGGTTTGAAAAGGTTTGGAACATTATCATACAGATTACAACTAAACCCTGCTCATAATATTTTTTTATCACCATCTTACTTTCTTACCACATATTAAATATTTTAAAGCTAATGTCTGAAGGTACTGGATTTGTTAAAAGTTGTTTCTAATTCCAACTGGGGGCATGGATGGCCCAGCAGTCTAGGGCGCCGCGATTCTCTGTGCAGAGTAACGTCCCTTGGGCACACCAGAAACCTATGATTGTGGGTTCGCATCCCGGTTGGCCCCGCCTGCTATCTTCTCCTCCCTGGCAATTTCCTAAAGCCACAGGTGGACCTGACATTGACCAAGCAAAAGAGATCATAAACAAATCAATTACAGTATCAAAAGGAATAAAATTAGTTAAGAAGTACATATAGTACTTACAAATCTATGTTTACAGATAGATCCAAGGATGGTGACGCTGTTGCAGTCTAAACATGACCAATTCATTATTTTTTCAGACTCTCTGTCCTGTCTTCAAGCTATTAATGTAATTCGTGTCAGCATCCAATTTTACCTGATATCATTGAACTACATAATAATCTTGCTACTGGCCAATATGACATAGTCTTTTTTTGGTTACACAACCATGTTGGAATCGTTAGTAACACAATGGCAGCACCCCACAAATCTGTAACATCACTTCTAATCCCATTCAGTGATTATTAACCTGTCATTAGATGTTACATCAAGGATCTAATGCAAAAGAAGTGGAACAACCAAGAGGTATAAATAAATTACTAGTACATGCAACAAAACCAACTGTTGGTTACAGCTGCTGGGTTGTCAGCTAGATTTGAAGAGGTCATATTACGATGATATTGTATTGGGTATACTATGATTATGATTATGTATTTTAAGAGAGGGTCCCCTGTCTTGTATCCCTTGTGATTGGCGATTCACAGTCAACATGGTCAAGCATGTTTTGCTTGGCTGTATTCACTTTGCCACCAAAAGGTTTCAGCCTTAAAGGAACTTTTTAATAATAACAATTAATTTAATTATTGTATTTTTTAAGAAATAGAATTGATTAATAAATTTGTATGTACATAGGTAATTGTTTCATAAATTTGTAGTATGATAATAGGCAGAGTTTGTAAGTTGCTCTACAGCCCTTTTTATATTGTATGGTTATGTACAGTGATATTGTTTTTTTTGTTACAAGCTAGTTTTAAAAAATAAGTCTGTGATGGTCTAGTCATTTTGTCCTTCGTTTTTTTATATAGTTTAAATGTATGACTTTTTATTGTCATGATATGGTTGTAATGTGACTTTAAGAATTTCACTCACTCACTGACTGATCATAATACATTTCTTTCCTCTATATGTGTATCAATCATCACATGTAAGAACATACTGGAATTTCAGCAATTTTCAAGAGTGTGTGAGTGTTTTACATCACTTTTTAGCAGTATTCCAGCAATATCATGATGGGGCACTCCAGAAATTGGCTTCATACATTGTACTAGTGCGCTGAATCAATCCAGGACCTGCAAAATGATGACCAAATGCTTTAAACACGAGGCTTACCCCCACCCCCCAATTTTCATGAATGCTTGTCAGCAGTTAGAGTTTAAACTTTACTCCTAATGACTGAAATAACGCCAATATGGTGTAACCCTAACACACATACCTAGCCATTTATTATTTGCACTCTGTATAAGCATACACAATTTTGGGGGAGTAAAACCCAATTATATCAATTTCTGACTACCACTGAAGTCACGAATGGAATGTGTTAATTCACACAGATGTGGTAGTTACAAGTGAGTAAATGAATATGGTTTTATGCCGCTTTTAGCAATATTCCAGCAATATCACGGCGGGGGACACCAGAAATGGGCTTCACACATTGTACCCATTTCGGGAATCGAACCCAGGTTTTCGGCGGGACGAGCATATGCTTTAACCACTAGGCTACCTGACCACCCCTAGTAAAAGTAATTATGATTGTTCCTAATATTGCATATCTGACAAAAACCAACATAAGGTTGAACCTTTTCAGTTATGACCCATATAATTCAAATCTACATTTTGCAATGACACTAGCAAGCTTTTTACAGTCCAGTATTTATGTTCCAGGCTGTCGAGAAAGCTGTCATATCAGTCTGGTACAACAGAAATGCTGACAAGGCTGACACATTGCGAGGTAAAAGCCTCTTCCACACAGAGGCAGGACTAAACAATTCCTGTTTGTCTGAGCTGGTATCAGAGCTTCAAAACCTAGTTGGTGACTTCAACAAAATGCACTACCCAGATAAACTGAGTTCCAAAGATTCCTGCTGAATTATACACTGAGAGAACTGCAGGGAAAGCTTGTGAAATTGCAGAAAGTATTCTTGATCTGGTGAAAGAGTTGCTGGGTGAAATGCAGTGGTGAGGTGAATTGTTGTCATGTTTCTTATGCATCTGTAAATCTTTACATCAAGGCCTGTGAAACATATGTTGAGCATGTCACAGTTTGAAACCTGTTGTTTAACAGTTTCACTGTAAATATATTTCTTTCAAAAGTTATGTTTCTTAAGTACAATTGCAAAATGCCTACCAGGACACTTATTATGTGTGTAGATATTAAGATCAGATGATGTAGCTTTAGAATAATATCCAGTATCCATTCTTTGTAGTCTTTATGAACCATTTAGTCTCACAATGTTGTTTTGAAGGTTATTGTTACCTATGATACGTATTGAACAAAATGTGTTTATCTTCATTGAAAGTCTTTTCATTAAGAATAAGTACATTACTTGCACGATAGTGAAGACTGGAACAACAGGGTTTTTTTATTTTTACTTGCATGTAAATTCTTTTAAGTTTACTGCTCAATTTCCATGTCCCCTGCTACAGCAGTGTACAACTGGAAAAAATATACCCAGCTGTCAAGGCAACAGCTATTTTACAAATTTTTCTCCAGTGAAACAGCATTGCATGATGTATATTATTATTGCCTTTAGAGATATAACTAAACTGTGTGTGCAAGTATAACTTAATGAAAGAAACATGATATATATTTGTTTGTGTGTAATTGTATAACATCCAAAAAAAGTTAACTTAATTAATTATGTCATGGGTATATATTTGGATATGTATAAATTGAAACTCGTATGAATTTTAATACCTTAAAAGATTATATCTGAAACGAAATATACTTTGTATGTAAAAATATCACGAGCAGTGGAACAGATGCCATAGATTGATCAAGTGAATGCCATCAGATTGTGATATGGCAACTTGGAAGTTTGAACAGTGTAAGTGACAAGCAATGTATGTGTGGATTTTTACAAGAATGCAGCTGCTCACACCTTTAGTGAAATTATCACTACCAAATCATGAGTCCTGAATATTGTACATTTGCATTTACATGTAACTTAATTCCAGACTGTAATTGTCTAGGTTTAACTATAGAAAAGTTAAAATTTATCTACATGACAGATGTCAATGATGGAATCTTTAAATGCGCGAATTATTGAAATATGGCAAATGTTTAGTTTTAACAGTGTGTACATATTTCAAGATTTGTAGATGTGTCTTGTATATAAAATTAGAGATGAATAACAATGTGTACATATTTCTGGATGTACACATTTCTTGTGTTTAAAATAGAGAGGAGCTGTACAACATTCTTCTTGTAAGTGGAAATAAATTTGTAAAGTACAGCATATGTATTAATAAAGATATGAACATGACTAAATATTCCAGAATGTGTACATATATCCATATTTGAAAATATTTAATCTTTGGTGTAGAAATAGATGTGATAATAATATTTGAATTTGAAAAATGTATTATGTGTGTAAATTTAAAGAGGAATTGAATTAAACATTTATCTATATGTACATATTTCAGGATGTGAAAACAATCATCTTGAAGATTGAAACAGAAATTATTAACCATTTGTATATATTTCAGGATTTGTTAAATACACCATGTATATTATGAATATTCATGTGTATTATGAATAAACTATGAACTTGATTAAACAATAACATGTGTATGTATTCTAGGATTTGCAATTACCGGTATTGTATCTTGTGTATAGAAATAGAGAGGAATGGATTTAAACATTTAACTATGTGTATGTATTTCAGGATTTGAAAAACATGACCTGTGTATAGATATAAAGATCAAATGCATTCAGCAGTGTGTACATAATTCAGGATTGAAAAATGTAAAGATAGTAATTGAAATAACACATTCCTAAAAATGTAAATATTGATTTATTAAACATTTCTTGTGTATAGAAATAGTAATGAATTCAATTGAACATTTAACGATTTATACATATTTCAGAATTTAAAACAAATCTAAAAACAATCTTGTGTATTAAAATAGATAAGACTTGAATTAAAATTCATTAATTTGTACATATTTCATGTTTTCAATTTTTTTTTGTTAGAAATAGTAACATTCAACAATTTGTATTTAGGATTTGTCAAATATATTGTGCAGCTATGAACTTGATTAAACATTCAAACGTGTACATATTTCAGGCGAGGCAAATATTGTATTTTGTATATAGAATAAGACAGTAATTGAAATAAGTATTTAATATGTGTACATAAATCAAGATGAGAAAATGTAAAGATGGGAATTGAAATAAACATTTAAACATTTGTATATATTTTAGGATTTGTTAAATACATCATGTGTATTGATAAAGCTGTGAACTTGATTAAACATTCAAACGTGTACATATTTCAGGCGAGGCAAATATTGTATTTTGTGTATAGAATAAGACAGTAATTGAATTAAGTATTAACAATGTGTACATAATTCAGAATTTTTAAAAATGTAAAGGTAGGAAGAGAAATAACCATTTGTATGTATTTTAGGATTTGTTAAATACATCATGTATACTGGTAAAGCTATGAACTTGATTAAACATTCAAACGTGTACATATTTCAGGCTATGCAAATATTGTATATTGTGCATAGAATAAGATTGTAATTGAATTAAGTATTTACAATGTGTACATAATTCAGAATATTTAAAAATGTAAAGGTAGGAATAGAAAAAAACCATTTGTATATATTTTAGGATTTGTTAAATACATAATGTGTATTGGTAAAGCTATGAACTTGATTAAACATTCAAATGTGTACATGTACATATTTCAGGCGAGGCAAATATTGTATATTGTGTATAGAAAAAAAACATTTCAAGATTTGTATATATTTTAGGATTTGTTTAATGCATAAAATATATTGATAAAGCTATGAACTTGATTAAAGATTCAAACGTGTACATATTTCAGGCTATGCATATATTGTATTTTGTGTATAGAATAAGATTGTAATTGAATTAAGTATTTACAATGTGTACATAATTCAGAATTTTTAAAAATGTAAAGGTAGGAAGAGAAAAAACATTTCAAGATTTGTATATATTTTAGGATTTATTTAATGCATAAAATATATTGATAAAGCTATGAACTTGATTAAAAAATCAAATGTATATATATTTCAGGCTATGCATATATTGTATTTTGTGTATAGAATAAGATTGTAATTGAATTAAGTATTTACAATGTGTACATAATTCAGAATTTTTTTAAGTGTAAAGGTAGGAATTGAAATAAACATTTTAACCATTTGTATATATTTTAGGATTTGTTAAATACCCGATAAATAAAGTGTATTGATAAAGCTATAAATTTAATTAAACATTCAAACGTGTACATATTTCAGGCGAGGCAAATATTGTATTTTGTGTATAGAATAAGACAGTAATTGAATTAAGTATTTACAATGTGTACATAATTCAGAATATTTAAAAATGTAAAGGTAGGAATAGAAATAAACATTTGTATATATTTTAGGATTTGTTAAATACATAATGTGTATTGATAAAGCTATGAACTTGATTAAACTTTCAAATGTTTACATATTTTAGCCGAGGCAAATATTGTATTTTGTGTATAGAATAAGGTTGTAAGTGAATTAAGTATTTACAATGTGTACATAATTCAGGATTAGAAAATGTAAAGATGGGAATTGAAATAAACATTTTAACCATTGCTATTAACCAGATTAAACATTCAAATGTGTACATATTTCAGGCTATGCATGTATTGTATTTTGTGTATAGAATAAGATTGTAATTGAAATAAATATTTACAATGTGTACATAATTCAGGATTAGAAAATGTAAAGCTGGGAATTGAAATAAACATTTAACTATTTGTATATATTTTAGGATTTAAGTACATCATTCATATTGATTTTTATATGTATATTGATGTATCTTGCCTGTAAATATAAAGAGGAATTTAATTAAACATTCTTATATGTGTACATAGTTGAGTTGCAAACATATTGTGTATAGATATAGATAAGAATTGAATTAAACATTCAACAAATCAATAATTATGTTTATGTCTTGTGTAGAAAAAATCCCCAGTGAGACTTGAACTGAAATTCAACATCAGAAAATGTGTAAATATTAAAGGATATGAAAACAATCATCTTGCAGATTGAAACAGGAACAATTAACCAATTGATATATTTCAGGATATATTAAATACATAATGTGTAAATAAATCTTCTTGTAGATGGAAATAAAAATATTTAAATTTCATGATTTGTAAAGTACATCATGTGTATTGATAAAGATATGAACATGATTAAATATTTTAAGATGTATACATATTTCATGATTTGCGTATTTGATCTTGTGTTGTGAAATAGATGTGATGATAATAATTGAATTAAACATTTACAATGTTTATGTATTTCAGGATTTGAAAAAATGTATCGTGTGTAAATATAAAGAGGAATTGAATGAAACATTTATCACAATGTACATATATATTGCAGGATGTGGAACAACCATCCTGTAGATTGAAACAAACAATTAACCAATTGTGTATATTTCAGGATTTGTGAAATAAACCATGCATTTTAGGAATAATCATATGTATAAAATATTTATTATGAATAAATATTGAACCTGATCAAACATCATAAAATGTTTACGTATTTCAGGATTTGCCAATATTGTATCTTGTGTACAGAAATATAGAGGAACTGAATTAACATTTAACAATGTGCATGTATTTCAGGCTTTGAAAAACGTGTCTTGTGTATAAAAATAGAGAGGAATTGCTTTAAGCATTTAACAGTGTGTACATAATTCAGAATTTAAAAATGTAAAGATAGGATTTGAATTTTAGACATTGTTAAAATTGTAAATATTTGTTGATTTTTTTAACTTATCCGGTGCATAGAAACACAAAGGAATTGATTTAAACATGTAACAATTTATACGTATTTCAACATTTGAAAAATGTGAAAACAATCTTGTATCTTAAAAATAGAAAACACTTGAATTAAATTTCAACAATGTGTACATATTTCATGTTTTCAAAAAAATCATCTTGTAGTTCAGAAATGGAAACATTTAACAATTTGTGTATTTTAGGATTTGTTAAATACATTAAATGTGTATTGATAAAGCTATGAACTTGATTAAACTTTAAAACATGCAAATATTTCAGGAAATGCAAATATTGTATTTTGTGTATAGAAAAATATTTGAATTGAAATAAAAATATACAATGTGTATGTATTTGAGGATATGAAACATGTGAAATGCATGTAAATAATTAGAGGAATTTAATTAAACATTCCTTTAAACTGTATCTTGTGTATAAAAATTGCAAATATTTATTGATCTATGTAGATTTATTGTCTCCTGTGTAGAGGAACTGAATTAACATTTAATTTATATACATTAAACATTTACAACGTGTATGTATTTGAGTGTTTGAAAAATGTATCTTGTGTGTTAATATCAAGAGGAATTGAATTAAACATTCCTAAATTTGGACATAGTTGAGTATTTGCAAACATTATATATTGTGTATAACTATAGATAAGAATTGAATTAAACATTCAGCAATTTATACATTTTTCAGAATTTTAAAAAACATTGTGTATGCATTTCAAGAATTGAAGAAGTATATTTTGTGTGTAAATATAGAGGGGAGAATTATTCAGCATTTTAATAAACATTGTGTATGCATTTAACATTGTGGACATTTTTCCAGATTTTAGGGGGCACGGGTGGCCCAGTCGTCTAAGGCACCGCGATTCCCCAATGCAGAGTTGCGTCCCTTGGGCATGCCAGAAACCTATGATTGTGGGTTCGAATCCCAGTTCGCTCCGATTATGTTTCTTGGTTTATCAGCACCATACCCGTGCTCGTGGGTTTAACCAAAGTGGTAAATGCCTGAGACCTGCATCACTTCAGTCTTTCTACCCATATTAAGCTGACACGTCGTGATATAGCTGGAATACGGTTAAAAGCGGTGTTAAACCCAACTCACACACTCTCACTCAAGATTTGAAAAAATATCTTCTTACTGATGGAAATAGAAACATTTAGACATCATGTATATTAACAAAGATATGAACGTGATTAAACATTCCAAAGGTGTAAATATTTCAGAATTTGCAAATTCACTAGTGTATAGTAGCACATTGGTAAAGAAAATCACAAAAAAATCTCTAAGGATAAAACTGAAACATGTGGGAGGGCGATTTGTGTTGTGTGATTATGTTAACAATGTGTATCTAAATATGTGTACATCAACAAATATATTAAATTTCAAGATTTGTAAGTTGTAACATTATATAGAGAAAGTGTGTAGATTTAAGTATCATAATTTAAACCTATGCTGATACCACGTGTATCATGTCTATGATTTTTTGTTTGATGTGAGCTTAATATATATCAATGAAGTTGATTTAATTATGTCAATCAACTCCAACCACATGTACATATTAAAGTAGTTGCATATTAAAGTATTTATATTATATGTAAAGCTTTTTAAACATATATGAATGTTATTTGTAACGTTAAAGAGTGAAGTATCTGCATGAAGTTGCAGAACCAGCAGCAGTGAGTAGGTAGCAGGGCTCAGTCCTGCCACACATGCAAACACAGGTTATAACCACATGGTGTCTCCTTACTTCCACTCAACCGGCAGCAAATACACACCCATCCCTGGTAGATTTGAAACCTTCTGCACCAAATAGGCAGCTTGGGTTGTATTGTCAGGCAGTGTAGTATGTTATTCTCACAGGAATCTATACTTTCCTTGATTAATTATTGAAAACATCCATGCCATTGGAATTTTTATTGTTGACAGATTTACATGTAAGTCTTGTAAAACTCTGTTCTAGGTAATAATAATTAGAGCTGGAAAAGAAGAGTACCCGTGTTCTGGTGTTTAGAAATAAGACTTGATGTAAAGAAAATATTGCGGGATGCATAGTTTATTATCATTTTGACATTCCATCTTGTGGTTGATTATTTTCTTTGGTGTGATAATAAGACAGTTAGACAATGTAGTATCAATCACATCCTGATTTCCTAGCTATAGTGTATTATACATGCATTATGATAAATACTGATGACCCCATAGCTCCTTTTGGGATTTAATGTAACATCTCAGTCTGTCCTATTCCTACCTCTAACACAGCACAGAATTTCTCTCAATCATGAGCTTGATATCAACAACCCAAATATTCGGCATACATCTGATTTCGTAAGAGGGAGCCCTCGATATATTTAAATCAAATCGGGAGACTTACAATGGAAACGATGGACTCAATGATTTCACAAGTATTCAGAAAGATAATCAAATTTATGTGACAGGCAACAAAAACAGTGGAGTACTGGAGAATGCTCGTAAAAAAATATTCATGCTACAAGGGTTTTTCTGCAACAAAAATGACATTGTTGCAAGGTTTGTAGGCTCATGGTCTTTGTTAAAAAATATCTGGCTCATGGTTTTGACACTTTACCTGAATGTCTCATAAAAATAGCATCTGCCCATCCCCCGGATTTCGAATGGTCGGTCACTAATTTGAATGGAAGGGTACATTTAGCATCGGGTCCTTCAAACTCAAAACGAAGCTAAGGTGGCGAATGGGTCCAGGGTATGTATCATATTAGAATGTGAATAAAATGCACTTGATATATTGATAAGGACAGGGTTCATTTCAAGATTAACAAAACACAAAATTTAAATCCATTGTGAATCTTGTCATTATTGTCATGTATTCTCACTTACACACTCAAGGTCATGGGTTGATTGTGGGATACCATGCATGAACATCAGCATCTTGATGTTGGTCACAATAGCTTCATGTTTTTGGAGTTGATTTTGTGCTTTTTTAATAACTAATAACTGAAATAATATTTTGAAGATGATCACATTGTTGCCCGGTAAACAAAAGGTCATTTTGACTATTATTGTCAGATCTCACACTTGGTCCAAAGATCCTACTGAGCTTATGTCATGGCGTGTCGCCTGCCTCTCTGTTTATTGTATATTAACTTTCAGAAATTGTTTTTTCCAAAATGCTGCAATACTGCACATGCATGTTTTGTTACCATTGCAATGTTCTTTAAAGACTTTAAATTCATAAAGAAAGTTCCATTGGAATCATACAGCTTTCATAATATAGCCACTCTTTCCTTGCATGATGAATAAATAGGTGGCTACATTTTTCACTTCATATACCATTCAGCCCAGTTGGATGTATCTGATGGGCAACGGTGCCTTGGCGCATTTTCTTACAGCTAGATTCATACATGTATTGTAAAGTAATTCATTCTAACTCTTACTTTAAGTGTATTGTGTTTGATTTTTCTTTCTGTAGCCTAATGTTCATTAAAAGTTTATAAACTTGCTTTTATCTTTGTTATTTGTCTTCTCAATATTGTTATATGATCACATTGCACTAAGGGGAGGTAGGGTAGCCTAACAGTTGCAGGGTTCGCCTGTCTAGGTTTCATTTCCCATATGTCCATTTTTCAATCGGGAGTACACTAATTCCATGACGTTATTGATTGGGTGTCCTCGATAGGATAGAATGCTGCTCGTAATATCAATCAACAGGGTTGTCTTGTCCAGTGTTGTATGTTTACATGTTGCTAGGTGCGGCATTAAACATCAAACAGCTTTCTAAGAAATGAGTGCCTTTTACGCAATTTTAGCTTTATTCAGTTATAGTGAGCGATGCCCAAGGCTGGGCTACATACATTGTTTCCATGGAGGGTATGCTTAGTAGGCATTAACCACGAGGCCATGTTGGTATTTTGGGCAGAATAAGTTGGGGGAGAGGGGTGGGGTCAGAATGTTTGACCTGGTTGATTGTGTGGCATGGATTGGTAATGCTATCAACCACTGGTTTGCAAAGATAGTGACTATAATGTCATTTACGTCATGTATGCTGAACTCTGTACTATTCTGTACCTTTTCCCATGACAGATGATATGCAAAATTTAACCTCATTCAATATGAATGCAGCTTGCAAAACCTGTCAAGCACAAAGTTACTTCTTTTGGTAACAAGTGTGTGTTTGAGGCAAATGACACATATCCTTGGTAAGAGAGAAAATTACACATTACAAACATGTGAATAAAATAGAGTCATTTTCAATTGTTTTCAGTTGTGTGTATGTGGCAAGCCCTACTTGCATGTAATGCGGGGGGATATAGCGATCAGCCAGTCCGTCTGTCCGTCCGTAATCATTTCCTCGAATCTTGGCAAAGCTATCAGGCACATACTGAACTGGTGCCTTTTGATATTTTGGGATTTTTCTATTTTCTATTTTTATAATTTTTTATGGAATGAAGTTGGACATAGACTCAATTGGGGATGGTGTTTGTTTCCGGGGAAGAATTCGAAAACCATTCAGTGTATTTGATTGAAACTTGGCAAAGCTATCAGGCACATACTGAACTGGTGCCTTTTGATATTTTGGGATTTTTCTAAATTTTTATTTTTTTAAATTTTTATGGAATGAAGTTGGACATAGACTCAATTGGGGTGGGGTTCGTTTCCGGGGCAGAATTCGAAAACCATTCAGTGTATTTGATTGAAACTTAATAAAGCTATCAGGCACATACTGAAGTCGTGCCTTTTGATATTTTGGGATTTTTCTAATTTTTTATTTTCTTTATTTTCATGGAATGAAGTTAGACATAGACTCAATTGGGGTGGGATTCACTTATAACAAGTAAACTGTTAAATATTTCCTTGCCAAACATTGCATGTCTCTCTCTCTCTCTCTCTCTCTCTCTCTCTCTCTCTCTCTCTCTCTCTCTCTCTCTCTCTCTCTCTCTGTGTGTGTGTGTGTGTTTATATATATATATATAGATATATATATATCTATATATATATATATAAAGCACATACTGAACTGGTGCCATTAAGGAAGTTAATAAGTTGAAATGGGCTAAAAGAAATGTTGGGTCACTTACCTGGTTTGGGACAATAACGTGTTAAAATGGGCGGGGGATAGAGATAACTTCGTGACTGTACGCTTGTATAGTCATTGTTTCTTGTAATTTGTCATTTGTTTGCATGAAAAAAAAACAGAATACAGAATAGCACATTTACTTGTGGTTACTTTGCAGACAGCTGCCGGGGGATATGTTATCTTTCTGATGACTCTTGTTAAGTTTACATGTTATGTTTTTGTTTTTGGTTTGGTTTGTTGTTTAACGCTGCACTCAGCATTATTCCAGCTATATGACGGCGGTCTGTAAATAATCAAGTCTGGACCAGACAATCTAGTGACGGATATCATGATCATCGATCCACGCAATTGGGATCGATGACATGCATCAACCAAGTCAGCGAGCCTGACCACCCGATCCCGTTTGTCGCTTCTTACGACAAGCATAGTCGCCTTTTACGACAAGCATGGGTTGGCTGAAGACCTATTCTACCCCGGATCCTCACGGGTCACATGTTTATGGAAACAATTCTGGCAATTCTTGTCAGACCGATTTTCAAGTGACATGTAAAGAATCTTTTCAACATTAGCGTTATCCTTGGGTTGGTTCCCAAGGGGGCTTGTATTCTGCTAGCTAGAGCTGGGAGACCTTTGCTCTTGTGTGACCACAGAAAGTTGACATTTCTTCTCGGAATGTTTTCCCAATAGTCGCACATGACATTTTTGAAATGATCACAGTAATCTTGTCGATAAATTGCTAACTTCTGTCAAGACAATCACAATCTCAGGCGCACGTAAAATCTTTTACAACGCCACCACACTCCAAATGTGACAAGGGTCTCGTCCTGTGAGGCGCATCACTAAATTAACATAATTATAGAATGCATATTACTGACACTGGTATTGTCTTTTATCACTCGATCTAACATTGAAATCCATATCTACAACAGGTTTCCGAGCATGTGCAATGATACCACATGATATCTTGGAAATGACGTGAAGCGTGTCTGGAGTAGCCTTGATTTGAATATAGATCCCAGGTAAATTCCAACTGTTAACTAGTATCTTCATTCTTGTATAAACTACGAATACTACCACTCACTCACAACCAAACACAATTGTCCAGCGTATTCTATTGCCCTTCTATTGTGGTAACTACCCTGGAACATGGGACACATCGTCCCCATAGCTTTTCTTAGGAAGTGGGGCGGTCGGGTAGCCTAGTGGTTAAAGCGTTCGCTCGTCACGCCTAAGACCCGGGTTCGATTCCCGACATGGGTACAATGTGTGAAGCCCATTTCTGGTGGCCCCCGCCATGATATTGCTGGAATATTGCTAAAAGCGGCGTAAAACCATACTCACTCACTTAGGAAGTGATGTCATAAATCATACTTTTCTAAATGTTTGAAACGTCACCTTTGATTTTGCTATTTTAACAATTAACAATTAACTATCTGTGACTAGCTTTTCATGATTATCATCCTTTTCGGGTACAATAACCCACCAGCTGCCCTCGGCCCCATTCGATACAAAATATTTTAAAGGGTGATATAGATATTTAGTTGTCTGTTAATGACGGTAACTATTTTGGGTTACTTTTTCCTAAATAAATATAATTTAAACCACATTACCGATATGTGTGACCCGGTCATTGTCAAATATCCATGTCATACAAACCCCAGATGTTACAGACATTCCAAACCTGTATTAAGTATTCTGTAACAACAGATAATGTAACACAACGTACAAAGTTAAACTGACAGCAACAGTTTGAAGATAACCGTTAAATGGGACAGTGCTATGGATTATGCCCTGCCCAACCAGGCTATAAGAACCTCCTGTAGCTTTATCACCCGAAGGGGAAAATAAATGATTGAACTGATGTTTCTCAAATTGATCTGTGTTTTTTCGGTAGGTTTCTTGGAGACAAAAAAAACACAATAGAATCTTGAATCAATAGCTGTATTTCATTACATGTCTACGTAATACTCCTACAATTACATGGTATAATGTTTTGTGGATTTATTATGTAAACGTGAGGAAGAATTTGTATTACACCTATTTGTGTTATGTGGAGATGGACCTCTATGGGGACTTCAATGAAAGAGAGGCCTTTTTGTGGTGGTGTTTGCAGCTGCTCTCGTTCCTGCCTTTGTCTTAATTACAAAAAATCTTTCGTTGTTGAATGAACAATTTCTGATTCAGGTACCAGTTCTGGTGTCTGAGACCCGACAATCTTTACATTTGTTTGAGGTGTGTCTCAGACGAAGGTGGCACAGCTGGGTTTTTTTCCAATGAAGCGGATGGGATGGGTTGAATACACTTGACCCATGTCAGATCAGTCTGGCAGGGGGCGGTCGGGTAGCTTGTGGTTAAAGCGTTCGCTCGGCACGTTGAAGACCTGGGTTCGATTCCCGACATCGCTACGATGTGTGAAGCCCGTTTCTGGTGTCCCCCGCCGTGATAATGCTGGAATATTGCTAAAAGCGGCGTAAATCCTTACTCACTCACTCACTCAGTCTGGCAGACAATAGAGGCAGTTGTGACGGGACGGAAGAGAAAGAAATTGTGGATAAAGTGATACTTGCAACCCTCTTCTTAGCTTCATGGAAGGAGATATTTTGTTTGTGCTTGAATTTCAGGATTTGGGATTCTCGTTGCCACAATGCGCAGAATATAGAAGAGGCTATGTAGTTCCAACCGCAGTTTGCAGTTTTCTTCCTGATGTCAGTGCTCTCGTGCTTGTCATCACAGTAGTGACAAACAGCAGAGGCATGGCATGACTTGCATACACGTTTGGCAGGAGTAGCACCGGAGTGGGTTCGGGAAATACAGTGCCGCTCCTATAACCAGCTTTGACCCTATTGAGGGATAGAAGTTCCCAGCAAATGTGAAGAGATAGGTGTTAGTCGGGTTCAATCTCACACGTTCGTTCTTTACAGTCAATCGTTTGACAGCTGTGAGACTGTTGTTCAAGTTCCTTCTGATCTTCTGTTATGCAGGACATTGCGAGTTCAGTGTCTTGTGCACTGACACAGCAACCTTGATATATTGACAAACTATTTTAATTTGAGCAGATATCGGTCTCCGTGCACTTTCTACAAGGAGAGAGACAGATCGAAGCTTTGTGATATTTGTAACCTCTCAGCAGATACCAGTGGTACCTTTGGTGAGTGCAAATGGATTTAGTTTCATGGGTTCTTTGTCACAAGCTTCGATAACCAAGAAACGGGGCCAATAGCCAGATTGAATGAGCATATTCTCGACAGACGAGGAACTTTCAGAATCAATGTGTGTTCTTTTTTAACCAGGGTGTTTGAACCAGCCATGTCGAATGGAAACCGATTCTGCACCCCTTTCCCCACCCTCCACCGAATGTCAACGAGGTCTTATTCTGTAATGGATCTCCAAGCTGTAAAAACCGAGGATAAAGGGGTGTTATACTC